AGATTTCTTGACTCCTCAAGTAATTCAAAGTCAATCCAGCATAGTATATCCATTGTTTGGGCAGCCAAATTTCCAGTTGAAGAAAAATGTGATACAGTTATTTCAAAATGGGCATCAGTTCTTTGGCAAGGCCGAGGAGAATCCACATACACACATATCTCGATTTTTGGATATGTGTCGACATTTCAGATACCAAGGGATTTCGGACAGCGCTATTAGGCTAAGGCTGTTTCCATGCACACTATGAAACAGAGCACTTGAATGGTTGGATTCACTTCTGGTTGCAAGTATTACTACATGAACGAGTTAGCACACAAATTCTGCACAAAATTTTTCTAACCAGCCAAGATAGCGAAGCTGAGGCATGACATATCAGTATTCAATCAAGGAGAAGCCGAATCATTTGACGAAGCTTGGAACAGATTCAAGAACATGCTCCGAAAGTGCCATCAACATGGGTTTGACAAAAAGATCCAAATTAGATTCTTCTACACAGGGTTACTTCCATACCACAAGAGCATGGTGGATTCAGCATCAGATGGCTCAATATCCATACGAACAGTTGATGGGGCATTGAATTATTTGAGAGAATGGCTACCACATCAGCCATGTGGTCTTCTGAGAGGGCGGTTTCAAGAAAACCTCTGGATGTCTATGAGGTGGATACTTATTCAGCAATATCTGCAAAAATTGACTCTCTGTATCATAAAGTGGAAAGCATATCACAAGCAGCACAAGCGAAGAAGAGCAATTGCAAGGAATGTGGAGCTAAGTACAAAACATCGGAATGCCCAATACTTATGCAAGGAATTGAGCAAACAGACTATGCACAGTGGGGACAACGCCAACAACACAATCAATATGGAGAAACTTTCAATCCTAGTTGGAAGAAGCATCTCAACTTCTCTTGGAGCAACTATAATCAAAATAGGCCACAAGGGCAATTTCAACAATAAGAGAATAAGCCTCAGTTGGAAGATATGATAGGAAAATTCATGAAGAAAGCCGAAGCTACATTTCAAAATCAAAATGCAGCCATAAAAAATTTGGAAACTCAGGTGGGGCAGTTAGCCATCGCATTTAATGGCAGAACGCCAGATAACTTGTCGAGTAACACAGAAATCAATCCCAAAGAGCAAGCCAAGGCTATTACAACCCTAAGTGGAGTACAACTCCCTGAAATCCATGTCAAGAGACCGGGTGTGATTGCAGAGACATCTTCTCCTACTGGAGAAGTAACTATTGTACAGGATGAACAACCAAAGGAATCAACTCTAAAGGAAAATTCAGAAAAGTCACAGGATAAGATCAAAGTCATAGTCAACCCATACGAGCCTCCGATTCCCTTTCCATAGCGGTTGAAGAAGCAAAAATTGGAGCAATAGTACAAAAAATTCATAGAAGTCCTCAAAAGGCTCCATATCAACATCTCACTAGCCGATGCACTATTCCAAATGCCCAGCTACGCGAAGTTTCTCAAAGATATTATATCAAACAAACGCAAGTTGGAGGACAATGAGACAGTGATGCTTACAGAGGAATGCAGTGCCAGAATCCAAAGAAAGCTCCCACCAAAACTGAAAGATCCAGGGAGTTTTACTGTTCCTTATACTATTGGTGAAGTCTATTTCGTTAAAGCATTATGTGACGTCGGTGCAAGTATTAATTTAATGCCTCTGTCTGTTTTCAGGAAACTCGGCTTGGGAGAAGCTAAAGCGACTACTGTGACACTTCAGCTGGCTGACAGGTCACTGACACACCCTAGAGGAATAATTGAAGATGTGCTTATCAAGGTTGAAAAGTTGATATTCCCAGCGGATTTTCTTATCTTGGACATGGAAGAAGACAAGGAAAGTCCCATTGATACTTGGCAGACCATTTCTGGCAACAGGGAGAGCTTTGATTGATGTCCAAAGGGGGCAGTTGATCTTAAGATTGGGAGAGGAGCAGATATCGTTCAATGTTTTCAAGGCCATGAAATTGCCAGCAAAATCAGATAGCTGTTACTAGGTTGACATCATTAACAAGGTAGTACAAGAAACGTTCTTACTTCACGGCCCGTCTGATGCCTATGAGGCATGTATTGCACAATCCCAATCAGTCCAGTTAGATTCTCTTGAAGTTGAAACATGTGTAAGGTTTTTGGAGACCAACCTGTCATACACCCGAAAGAGGCACTTCGAGGAACTAGGGATGGGAAATGGAAAGCGACTACCCTCCATTCAACAGTCGCTAGTTCTAGAACTCAAGCAACTACCGTCACATCTCAGATATGCATATTTGGGGGAGTCAGATACACTTCCAGTAATCATTTCGAATACAGTCAGTCAGGTGGAGGAAGAAAAATTGCTCAGGGTACTCAAAGAAAACAAGACGGCGATTGGGTGGACAATAGCTGACATTAAAGGGACCAGCCCTTCTCTGCGTATGCATAAAATTTTAATGGAAGAAAATTACAAGCCAAGTATAGAGGGTCATAGAAGATTGAATCCGAACATGACGGAAGTAGTCAGGGCAGAGATATTGAAATTACTAGATGCAGGAATCATCTACCCAATTTTAGACAGTGCATGTATCAGTCCAGTTCAAGTGGTGCCAAAAAAAGGGGGAATCACTGTGGTGAAAAATAAGAAGAATGAATTAATTCCCACCAGAACAGTGACGGGATGGAGAATTTGCATCGATTATCGCAAACTAAATACAGCTACACGAAAGTATCACTTCCCACTCCCATTCATTGATCAAATGTTGGAGAGGTTGGCTGGACATTCACACTACTGCTTCCTTTGTGGATACTCGGGCTACAATTAGACATCTGTCGCACCGGATGATCAGGAGAAGACCACTTTCACTTGCCCCTACGGTACTTTTACATATCGTAGGATGCCTTTTGGTCTTTGCAACGCTCCATCCACATTTTAGAGGTGTATGATGGCAATACTCTCCGATATGATTGAAAGGTTTATCGAGGTTTTCATGGACGACTTCTCAGTATTTGGATCTTCATTTGGTGAATGTCTAGAACAATTAAATTTGGTCTTACAGAGATGCAAGGAGACTAACCTGGTTTTAAATTGGGATAAATACCACTTTATGGTGCAGAAAGGAATTGTAATCGGGCATCGGATCTCGAAAAAAGAAATTGAAGTAGACAAGGCAAAAATTCAAGTTATTGAGAAGTTACCACCGCCTACATCAGTTAAAGGGGTTCACAGCTTCTTGGGGCATGCGGGGTTCTACAGGAGATTTATAAAAGATTTCTCGAAGATCACTAAGTTGCTATGCAATCTGCTAATGAAGGACGTAGCCTTTGAGTTTAGTGAGGAATGTCTCACAGTATTCAACACTTTAAAGGAGAAGCTCACGACAGTATGAATAATTGTGGCACCAGACTGGGAACTGCCTTTTGAATTGATGTGTGAATCTAGTGATCACGCTGTGGGTGCAGTATTAGGACAGTGAAGGAACAAGATTTTTCATGTGATCTATTATGCAAGCAGAACTCTAAATGATGCGCAAATCAATTATGCCACCACTGAAAAGGAGCTTTTGGTCGGGTATATGCATTCGACAAATTCAGATTATACCTTGTCAAGTCTAAAGTCATCGTCTACACAGATCATGCTGCATTGAAGTATCTACTCACAAAGAAGGATGCAAAGCCGAGGTTGATTTGTTTGGTGCTGTTGCTGCAAGAATTTGATATCGAGATACGAGACAAAAAGGGCAGTGAGAATGTAGTAGCGGATCACCTATCTCGATTAGAGCCTGGGGAGACAGAAGAATTAGTGGATATCAATGAGATCTTCCCAGATGAGTAGATGTTGAGAGTAGATGAAGTACCTTGGTACGCAGATATCGTCAATTACTTGGCCAGTTCCATCCCACCACCGGACTACTCGAGTCACCAGAGGAAAATGTTTTTCGCTGAATTGAAGTATTATTTTTTGGAAGACCCAATTTTCTATAGGCAAGGGGCTGATCAGATAGTAAGGAGATGCATACCAGAGGAAGAAGTACGTGAGATTCTCGAGCACTGCCATTCATCTACAAATGCTGGACACTTTGGGCTTCGAAAAAAACTTCAAAGATTCTACAATCAGGGTTCTACTGGCCTACACTGTTTAGAGACATCTTTGAGTTTGTCAAGAGGTATGACAGATATCAACGCACTGGGAATATCTCGAGGAGGAATGAAATGCCACTGAATAACATTTTGGAAGTAGAGATATTCGATGTTTGGGGAATTGACTTCATGGGACCTTTTCCCCCGTCGTTCTCAAATCAGTACATCTTGGTAACAGTGGATTACGTATCAAAATGGGTGGAATCAGCTGCACCGTCGACAAACAATTCAAAGGCAGTAATTGGGTTCTTGAAGAAATATATTTTCACCCGATATGGTACACCGCGAGCT